TCTTGCATCTGAATTTTAAGTGTGATTTTTCCCTCTCTGTTCTCATGCAAGAACTCCCAGAATAGATTTTTTTTTTCTCCCCAAACAGTTTTTCATTTTGTGTCTTGATGTTCTCTCTGGCGCTCACAAATGTGGTCTCGCCTTGTTTGTGTTGGTTCAAATGTTGCATCTAGAATCAGGCCTTTGATAGGCTCACTGCCTATTTAAATCTTCCTACTAATTTCCTTTCTTTTTCACATCAAACACTCAAATGTTTCAGTTTCAAGGATCCCAAAGATTTATGGTCGTTGTGTGTCATTTTTCTTGTGTTATCACAACGCTGACTTCCATTCTCCAGTCAAGCAGTGGCGACATTATTTAGCTTCACCTTTTTAGTATGTTCAAATAAATGCCATTTGTAAAAGTTTCTGCCAGTGCTGCCTCTGTGTACTGGTCACCTTCTCCATATATATCCGTAAAGTTGCCCTTTAAATTCTTTTGTGTCACTGAATCACAGAGTGGTTGAGGTTGGAAGGGACCTCTAGAGATCAGGAGAGACTGAAAATCTTGGCTTCATCATATCGATCGATATGCCCTTGCACCTTCATCTACATCTTCTGTCTGTATCCGCTTATCTTTTCCTTTTCCCTCCTTGTTTGCCTGCGTAGCTTTTGAGCTTCCCTTCCCTTCGGCACTTGTGGAGTGTGTGTCACTCTGGCGAATGACAGGGAACTTTTTCACACACTACACTGTGAGATTGGGAGATTAATAGCAACAAATTATCACTGGGGCCAAGGTTTAGGGAATCTAGAAATTGGTACTTTTGTTGAATAATGAGACCGTCTAGAGATGCACAAGTAGAAAAAGTGAAAGTGAAGAGATAAAAAAAACCTTCTTCTTCAAGTTGACCAACTGGTAGGAAGAAATGCACTTTCTGAGAAAGATCAGCTCCCTCTTGCACGGTTTTACACTGTTGTCTGAAGCAAAGATCTAATCAGAAGTTCAACTGAAATATAGTGCGGGAAGATCCAACTACGAGCCCCACTTTTCCTCCTTCCAAAGCTCAAGTTTGACCCTGATTCTCTTGACCTTTTTGCTTTTCTTCCACTCCCAAATACATGTAGATCCTCTTGATGCAATTTCATTGTCATGGAGCAAAAGTCTTGGTTTCATTGTAGCGTGAAGCAAAGACACACTGCAAAATATCGAAACCAGACATCAAGTGAAAATGTTAATTTTAGTTAGTACTACTTTAAGCAAGTGGTACCAGTTACTTCTGGAAATATGTTATAGGGTTAGAGAGATCACTGATCAGGTCAGTTACAGCAGTTTGTTTATTCCTTCTGTTGTTCTAAAGAAATATTTTTTTAATATTGGGAAGGTTTTTAATTATGGGAAGGTTATTAAAGGACATAGAGAAGGTGGAGATGAGGAAATTAGTTCTTGCCTTGAAGATGGTTTCCTGTCTCACTTCTTATATATTTAACAGAGGAATGGTTAAGTTGGGAAACAGGCCAAGAATGTAATATATAGTTATAGAGCTGGTGATTACCAGTGCACCGAGACTGGCAGATCCCATCAACACAACTATTGCACCCTGTTAATCTAGCTGTTAACCAAACCATTAGAATAAGAGGGTCTTTCATGAACTCTGCTTTTTATTCCACTCAATGATACTGCAAATAGTTGCAACATTTTTCGAGGTCTGATGTCCCCCATGCTGTTTGCTACTCCTTAATTAACAATTTTCAGATATTATGTGTGATCCCTGCAACTGATGAGATCTTAGTGCCTTATCTTTTTATCTGATTAAAAGGTCTTGGAAGATTATCTGTCCAGTATTAGATGCCTAGTAACCTAATGCTGTCTAGGAGACCTAAGCTCTACTTTCTCTGCCCTCCTTGTTTTTTTATCTTGAAGGCTATTTGCTATGCATATTTGTTAGGATTAGTATTAAATTCCCCCAGCTGCATTTAGTAATGCTTGTGATTCTTTTGTACATTGTGACTGAAAATTCATCCTGACTAGTGCCTAATCTGCAGCTTTGATTTGGCTTCTTACTGTAATCACATTTTAAAGATGCACTGGCCCTGTTTGGAGGGCCTTAAAAGGTTCTTTTTCTTTTTTTTTGCCTGCAGATCTGGATTTTAAAGTTGACAACAAATTATTGTAAGCTGCTGAGCTGACACTTTATCTAATTAGTTCTTCTTTTCCTCGGCGTTCTCAGCCCCCAGAGGAGAACATGCGTCCCGGTTCAGTCATACGTTGGCTGGAAGCCTGAAACAAATCCCAGGCTGAGCCTCGAGCTTCGGTTCTTCCGTTGCTTGGGATTGACTCTGCGGGTTTGTTCCTATTTTGGTCTAGGTATAATATGAGAGGGAAGCGTTCCTTGCAGCAGCCGTGTGCACGTCATCAACGCAGGGGAAAATGCAGCCGGGTCTGCGCAAATGCAGACCTGACCCGGCCCTGAGAACTCAACCCTCCTGTGCCTCAGTTCCCACGTCTGGGAAGGGGAATTAATATCTCATGTTGCAAACACAAATGAGCCCTCACGCCTCTTCCTCAAAGCACTCTGAGTGTTTTCGGCAAGACGTCTGTCCGGGCACAGTGCTGATGATTGCTTCTTTCTCTGGTTGAACCTTTTGACTGCTGCAGTCCTGGGCAGTCTATCTGCAATAACAAGGTGTTGTGTTGCTCCCGTGAATGGAGATGAAGTCAGGAAGTAGAGCATCGAGGAAAATCTTCGTAAGTTATTGCAGTTATTTATTAAAAGAACCTTGTATTAAGGGCCCTTATGCAAAACTTTCCCCAGCCTGATTGATTTCCATGAGTAAAGGAGCCTCTGCTCTCTACAGAGATGAAGACTTCTGATGACTTTAGTAGAAAATCAGCCCAGAAAGATGAATTTTTGAGTCTTCCTTTTCTTCCATAAAATGTGGATTTTGCATACAACTCTTAAAATTGCTGAAGGTTAAAGGTTCTCTAAAATCAGGTCTCTGTTTCCCTCCCGAACCCGATATCTGATGAGCATTTTAATTACAACGCCTGCCAGCTGTGAATGCCTGCATGGGTTGGCCACTCTTTTTTGGTTAAGTGCAAAATGGAGATCTGTAGCTGCCAGGAAAAAGCAGCCTTGTCCATGCAAGTGGTGGCTGCCATTTGTTTACCGCTGTCCTCCCTTCGCTCCTTGTTGGCTTCTTGGAAGCGGTGGCTGCTGACTGGAGTGACAGGTCTAAAGATTGGGAACGAGGAAATGCCTGTGGGCTGATACAGAATTTTTTTTAACCCCTGGATGATGCCCAGCCAGCCCCTTAATCCCTTTATGGGTCGGCCGTTCGCATCTGAAGCTGAGATAGTAGCAGTCCCCAGCCTTGCTGGAACCTGCGCATTGAAGTGTCTGAGCTGCTGAGCACTCCTAGCAATGTGGACTAAAAGAAACAAAAGGCCTTTTTTTTCCTTCTGATTCGGCCATGCGTTTCCCAGGCAAATCCATCCACCTCAGCAGGGGAAAACGGTTCATTTTGCCGCTGTTTGCCCCCTTCTCTTCCCACTCCAATAAAAAGGGGAAATACATTTACCCAGCTTTACAGCAGTTGTAAGGAAATCCTACCAGTGCTAGTAGGGAATGTCATGCCCGTATTCTAAGACAGCAGCGACTGTACCTTCCTCCACTTGTTTCTACATGGTGTTAGCCCAAAATGTTTCCTGGACAGAGCACACACCAAAATCTTCAGCTTTCCCTTTAGCAGATGGAAGATTTTTGGAACAAGCATGCACTGATTCCCACTGATGGGAAGGTTTCTGCATATGAGCCTTAATGTGAAAATAGGGGATACTTTAAGGGCAACTTTGTTCATTCTCACTGCAAAAAGCCCTCCAACTTATCCCTCTTACTCACAATATTCATTGGCTATATGCTACAAATACCAGCGTCCCTGCACAGCTCAGGTCTTGAGCATGCTAGAAGCTGGATATCAGCTTTGGTTTATTCTCAATCACTGAAGTTAGGTAGTACTAAAACAAAAATCAATATAAAATAAAAGGATTTAATGGCCAGGAATCAAATCCTGTCCTGCTGTTGCTATTCATTACACAGTATTCTTCTGTGGTTAACTGTTTGCTCTGAATAAATGTCTAGAAATCTGTAGTGGCTCATAAGCTGTTCCAGAGAACAACTTGTGCTCTATGAAAACAAGCATTCATCAAAGTGCTCTCACATCAAATATTGTATGCCTGGCTGCATGATCTTTCAAATGGCCTGATCTCCTAAGCAGGGAGAAATCTAAAATACGTTCTATAGAAAATCAGAGGCTCTTGTTCTCTTCTAAGTTTAGTGTTTTGTTGTTGTTTGTTTGTTTTTTTACAATTCTGTTCAGTCTTGGTGGATGCATGCAGGATAGTAGGTAAGTAATGTGTTCAGGAATAACATTTCAGTGAGATATAACCCCAGAAGCAGTAGGTTATATCGTACTAATGTGCTTTTCCTATACAAGAGATGAACTCTTCTGCTGTCTTATTAACCTTATTTATTATCAGCCTATGTTGTTGTATGCAATATAAAGTAGGACCCCACTCTGAGCCTTGTATGAAGACAGCAAAAGAGATAATCTGTGCCCTGAGTTGATTACAGTTTAAGCAGACATATTTTTGAGTATCTCCAAGGATGGAGACTCCAGTCTCTAGTTTCTTCTAGTAGAACTTTCCTTAGAAATTTGAAACTAATGGGTGTGTTGCAGTTGTTCTTAGAAAAGCAGAGTTTGCTAATTACACTTTTATTGTTAGAGATTAAGGAATCATGTTATTTTAACTGCTGAAAGGAATTCAGTTATTTGAAATCACCACCACCTCACTTCAGATAGAAAGCAGAGTATGTCAAGTCAGTTCAGTTTTGCGTGTCCTGTAATGGCATTATATGCTGTCTCTTATGTGAAAACAAATACTGCATTGATATAAATACTTTTCAACTGCAAATTTTATTATTTATTTATCTATTCAATACTATTTTGTGTGTGTTTCTTCAGGGCTCACTGGAAAGATTATAAAAGCCATCATCAGCGAAGGCTTCCAGATCTCAGCTTTACAGATGGTAAGTGTCCTTTTGTGTGTATTCTTCTGATAAACAGAAATTGGAGCAGTGCTATGTGTACTTCACAGCAAAGCACAGGTACAGGACCCTTGTGCAAACTGTATAGCAGCATTTCAGGTTCAGCGCTGTCCCTGTGATACTTGTATTTTATCATTCACTTCGTTGGGTCTGATCTGTTTCTTCTTGCTGCATGAATTTGCAGCACAACCCTCTGCCTCTCTGCACCTGGTTCCCTGTATTTAAACTGAGGATGATAATAGTTTCCTCTGGAGCAGTTTATCTCTTTGGAAAACATGCTAAGATTAGAGAATCGATTGTCAATATTCTTCCTTGACCTTTTTATTATAAATTTAGTGCAAACTTAGGGAAAGGATTTTCAGAGATTTTTAAAGGATTTTAATATCTTGGTCCCCATAGAAATTAAAGGACACTAACACAAAAATTGCTTCCGAGAGTAGCCCCTGTGTTTTGTGAAAAGCTTGAGAGCAGAAATCTCTCTCTTTAGTCAAAGTAATAATATGCCCTCTAGTAGCCCACTAGTATGCAACAAACAGATCATCTTGGCTGTCAGTCAACATGACACACAAAATACAGTGATTACTTCTATTAAAGACAGAAGAAGAGAGCACATCTTATCTTGCCTGTGTCATCTCTAGCTAAATTGCTGACAAAATTCGTATTGCAGCTGTAAAGCCACTGTTATACCTAGTGAAACTTAAAGGAGTATACTGAATGCTTGGAGGCTAAAAAAGGGCTATTTTTTCTTTTAAGACAGACGGGCTAACATTTTTGTTTTCTTAGTTCAACATGGAGCGTGCAAATGTGGAAGAGTTCTATGAGATTTACAAAGGTGTTGTCGCTGAATATCTGGTAGGTATAAGGTGAGGAAAAAAACTTTTAAAAAAATACCTGATTAAAAGAGGAAGTGGTCACATATTTCCATTTTGGTATTTGTGATAGGATTTCATTTAGGAACCTGTTTTTGACCAATTCTAGCTTTTTTTGAAACTAACTCATTTTGAAACTTATACTTGAAGCTGTGGAAAGAAAGTTGGTTCTTTTGAGTGAACTGTTGAGTCAAACCATCTGTAAAATACTGGAAAAAAAGGCCCTTAGCTAAGTTATGTTATTTTGGTAGAGCTATGACAATATCTCACATTTATATCTTTGTTCAATTTGATATTGCAGTAGTGCTTTGCAGCAGCATATATATTTATTAGTTCATTTAGGAAACGGGTAGTTATTATGAGTGCTTTACTGATGGTTTTTCTGTAGTTCTTAACTTTATTGATCTGACTTTGGAAAACTTGAGAAGAATTTGAGGTAGCTGCCATCCCAGTGGGCATGTAAGACTCTATATTATTAAGCCACAGAGTACTCAAGATAAAACTTCCTGCTAGCAAATGGAACCATAGGAATATGAAAAGAGGAGCTTGTATTTCTAAATCAACTTCTTATAGAGCTTTTCAGATCTTTCTGCAAAAAAGAATGAGCTTAGCTTCAGTGCCATGATATGTACTATGCAAGTTATCTTTAATTTATAAATGGTTAAATTGTTAAAAATTTCTCTGGATAGTTACTGATATTGATCTGACAGTGTGACAGTTTTTTCCTCTCTTTTTTCTTTTGTGATTGTTGAATCTAATTTATCTCAGCAGATTTTGTGTATTTGTCTTTAATTAGGTCTGGAGTAGTGGTAGTTTTCTATTATATTGGGAAATACTCATAAACACTCATACTCTTCTGCTTAATGCCCCTTGTGCATGACCAAAGGAAGGCTAGCAGGCAGTTTCTAGTTTCATGGCAGAACTCACATGTGGAGATATCTACCCAGGATTTCAAGACCCAGAGAATCTCATAGTGCTGTAGAGGTCTTTGCTTTGAACCAAAGTGGAACTTTTCTATCATCTTCTACAGCTCTTTTGTACAACCTCTGACCCTCAAATAAGTTGCAAAATTAAGTCAAATAATTTAATTGGAGGGTTACTCAGAAAGGAAAGTAATGCATGACAAGTCAATAAATGGCATATGTTTTAGATGAGATTTAAAGAAAAGTGAGAATTTGAGACTCTGTCCTACAATCCATATTTGCCAGAAGCGCTCAGATGAAACGAATGAGACATCTACATGGACTCAGGAGATCTGTGAGATGGAAAAATGTGGGAAAGGCAGTCGTGCTGGTAAAGGAATAAGACTTGGGAACAGCAGTAGATACTGTCAGTGAAAGTCAAAGAGGAAAAAGTATGTTGAGATAAAGGATGATGAAGAAAAGAATATGGTTTATCCTATCTGTAACTCAGAACAGTCTGATTTGAGTTTTTATTTTCACTCCAAAATAACTTGGGGCAGAAGATACTTGCCATTCAGAAATCCCAAGTGTCTTTTCAAAACCTGCACTCTCGTTTCCTTCAGGCAGCCCATGCCTGTCAAATAGGGCTTTGCCATGTAGTGTATAAAACAGTTCTGTGTGAAAAGAGAAATCTGAGCACCTGTCCCGAATTTTAGTTTGTTGTCCCCTAATCCACAGGCCCTGCACAGTTATTGTTAAATAACTATCTGCTGAAGAAAATTAAATTTACCTGTGAGAGTCTTACCAAAGAGGCAGTGACTTATAAACTCTTTATAAACTCTGTTCTGGACAAGATGAGCTTGTGTAGGGCAGATCAAGGGCCCCTGCCGTGTGCTGCTGCTGTTGGGATGTCAATACTGATTCAGAAACAACAGAAGAGGGAGGATCAAGGAAAACCCCAACTTGCAGGGAAGAGTTCAGTTGATTCCAGTAAAGTTAAAAGCCCATTTTTTTCCTACTTTCCTGTTAACAGTTACTTAAATGAAAGAATTCAACGGAATCATACAGATCTGTGACTTTTTGGCAATTCATTGCTTGTTAACAGGGACAGGAGTTGTGCCATTTGACCTGATATTAAGAATCTGATGGAGATAAAGAGTTCATGGAACTGATTTTTTTTTCTGTTGTAGAGCATGAAGCTGGTCTGTACTCTTTTTTTGTTTGTTTGTTTTCATTCTCACAGGAATATTTCTACCTGCATTTCTTAAGGACAGGTTGGTAATAGAGCTTCTCGGCTAAAATTCTGTCCCATTTACTTCAGAGCAGTGAGATTAAGCATATGCCCTTAACATGGAATTTGTTGTGAGGATACCAACCCTCTGGAGCAATGCTGCTCGAGCCAGAGTCTTCATGCAGTTAGCTGCTGTCAGGTGGCAGAGAGAGACTTAATCCTTGTTTTCCTATTGCTCTTTGACCATTCTGAATATTCTTGTTCTGTGCCATAGCTGACCTTTAACCTGTCCATGGCTGGTGGGCATGAATATTGCTTGTTCCATGTCCTCCCTTACTTCCTCCCTGTGTCTTTTCCTCGCCTGTTTCCCTATTAGTTTCATTTATTGAATTATCTTGATTTGTTAAATACATGTCTGCCCAAATCTCTAGGCAAGGCTCCACTTACAAGAGCTGGTTTTAATAAAGGAGATGAGGCTGGAACATTAAAATAGATTCTTTCTGCTTGTGAAATCTATGCCTCTGATTAATAACTCCAAATCGGCACTAATGCCAGGAGTTGATTTTAGCTTATGCAAGCTAAGACTCATCTTCACCACATGCTCAGAACTCACTGTGGCACCTTGCTCTCTGGGAGACTCTTGGGAAACAGATGATTTCAGTGTGATTCCAGGGCTGGTGGACCAAAAGGATCCAAATCATGAATCCTTTCCCTGTGCCCTGTTTTTCCCCCAAAAAGTGTGTTGCATTGATTCAGTCTACAGTGTGAGAAGCACTGTATGAGAAGCACATAGCACTGTGAAATCCTAGTCAAGATCAGTAAGGATATAACTGCAAAATAATCTAAAATAAGCTAAAAAGAATCTAAAATATTGTGGATGCTGTTGCATGTTACTCAGTATTCTCATGAAGCTGAATATCCAATTTACTTCTTTGTTTCATGCCTTTGCTTTCCTAAATATGCTTAATTTTTATTGTATTGTAAATTTGGGTCTAGTTTTGAGAAGTGCAGCCCTTGATTGTGTTCTACAATGCTCAGATTTGTTTTCATTGTAAATTTGGGTCTAGTTTTGAGAAGGAGTGCAGCCCTTGATTGTGTTGTACAATGCTCAGATTTGCTTTCATTTTTTTTTCTCTTCTAGGAGATGGTTACTGAGCTGTGCTCAGGCCCTTGCATAGCAATGGAGATTATACAGCCCGAGCCTCCAAAAGTGTTCAGAGACTTCTGCGGGCCCTCTGATCCTGTAAGTACTTGAGTGAGTGACAAGGAACACTTAAAAATCGGTGTGCTGCCTGTGTGGATGAAAATATCATAGTATGCCTTGGCTGCTGTGTGTTTGTAGCTTTTCTTTGAAACAGCTAAGCTGTGTGTTACTGTGGAGATCAGATGGACCAATTTGCAAATCCTGTAGCAACCCCACCGAACTTACTGAAACCAGATGATGAAATATTGTGATGATATTTATGTGAATGGAAAGCTATCTAAGAAAAAATCTCTGTTAAAAGATTCATGAATACTGTAACACAGGTCTTCAGAGCCCTGGAACAAATTGTTACTCTTTGAGTATGCTGGTGTAAATCAAATGATAGTTCACTGTAGTCTGTGGTATTTTCCTAGGATGAAACTGTAAAAGGAGAATTAGCTCCTCTGATTATTTGGAAGAAAAAAAATTGCCAAACTTGAGTTCTTGTAGCTGTGTGCTATGCTAATGTTTCTAGGTTTTCTTTTTCATGTCTTGGGGTGAGTAAGTAGTGTGCAAGATACTGCATGCAATGTGGAGTCAAGCATAAATGCTGTCTAAAAAGAATTTGCAGTTTTGTTTAATCAATGAAGGCCAATACGCCACAAAGGAGCCAGGCAGTGAAATACAAGATGCAGGCAACGTGGTCAGGTTCTGTATATTTTATGTTATGAATAAAACTCCTAATATATATTTCTCATAGATTTATATTTTAAGGGGAAACAAGTTGTTCAGGGTATGTTGGTCTTCAGATCCACACTTCCTCCTGTAGGAGCCACAAGTTAAAGGTGTTTTCCAGACCTTTTGCCTTCTCTAGTTTGGCCGCATTCAGCGTTTCAAAATGTCTTTCTGCTAGATTAGCATCTTAGAGCAAAACTTGTTTATCTGACTTAGGTTAAACTCAGGCAGTAATGTACATAGTATGGTGGTCTGAGATTTATTTATTTTTCCATGTTTAAGTTTTCTGATCTTTCAGACTTTCAAAGATGCAGCTCTTTTGTTTGTGCTCACAATATCGTTTTCATATTTCTGTTTGTTTCAGCCTGCAGCTGTCATGTTAATAACATAATATCATCACACACACTACAGCTGCTTTAAGTTACTGGAGACAAGGATAACTATCCAAGAGGAAGTTCCTATTTTCCCATTTTCAGCCAACATGGTTATGACTGAAGAAATTGATGATTGTTGGGGGAACTGGGGCATGCCTAAACTGATGGCTCTTCTGGGCAGCACAAGAACACAACAGAAGAGGGAACTAAATCCCTGCCTCTAAATTTCTTGCTAGTGACCCCTATCCATACTGTTTGTGTTTCCCTTTTAATTGTTAACTCTATGACAAAATGAGTAAAAACAACTACCTGCCTGCTTTCAGTGGAGGCAGATGTCTAGAGTTTTGGGCATTGATCATATAGCGTTTGCAATAAAAGTCTGTTTGGCCGTTTGGTAGACAAGCAGATGTGTTACATACTCCTGCCTACTGCTCTCTGGAAGAATTACAGCCAAATTGATTCTTCAGGCATAGTGTTGGTAGCTCGTCTTTGAGGAAGAAGTGGCTAAGGTTCCTCAGCAGACTTTTATCATTTCCAGCTGGTGCAGTCAGAGAAGATCCTGCCTAAACACTGTGGTCACGGTATCTGTTTCCAAGAGGGCTAGCAGAAACTGCAACAGCAGTTTCATTATCTAGCAAGGTTACATGCAGAGCAGGAGATATCCATGGACTGGTATGCTGGTGACTCAAGTAAATGCGTCATGCAAGTAGTATGTTATCTCTGAGAGATCTAGATCTGTGTTTATGTACACTAGATCGTGATGTGAATGCACAATGCTTATAAAGGAAGGTGCAGACCAAATTCTGAAGCTGTAGAACAGAATGTAACTGTTGGGGTCTCTGTCTTCTGTTTAATGCAGTAGTATGCAGCTCTGCAAGCAGCGCCAGTGAAGTCACTGGGATTGCTCTCGAAGCAAGGTGCTGCTTGGAGTGAGTAAAGGTGCTGGAATTTCACGTTGCATAATGAACGTCATCGAATCACATGTGCTGTTAATTACATCTCTGATACACAGCAAATGTAGTAGTTACTCTGTGGCAAATCAGGTGTCTACATTGGATCTTAAGGATCTGAACATTAACAGCCCTTCCAGTCTGCTCTTGGTTTTGTTTAGAGAGGCAGTTGGGGCACACTTCAACAAAAGGCATCCAAAGGAGGTGATATGAGTTTACCAAATCAAAGCGAGATGTTGTTTGGAGATAAGTCTGCTTCTGTCCAATCGTTGGTTTAGGGCTGGATATAAAATAAGTATAAATGCTTTACTTCATTAAAGTTCTGTTTGCAAAATGGAACATACCTAGCTGCACAATACTAAAAATAAAATGGGATTTAATGCTGTCTTTTGTAACTGGTTAAAATTTGCTAGTACTGTGAGGCTCTCTGCCAAAAAAAAAAAAAAAAAAAACAGAAACAAAAAACCTTTGTTATTATAAAATAGCTTATAAATGCTTCATTAAAAGATCTCATGTGTGCCCTGCTGGCTCTGTGCTCACGGAGCGCTAGCCCCTGTGGGTAGCAAACAGGCGAGGTGAAGAGCTGCTCCGCAGCCCTTGGTGCTTCTTGTGTTCCCTTCCTACACTGGCACGTTTTGAGTGAGGGGCCCCTTGGGTCGCTGCCCTCTTGGTGCACCATCACCATCCCTAACGATCCGTGGCTGAAGCTCTTGGAGTCGGTTTGTTTCTGTCTTTGGTGGTCTCCTCTGAGGCCTTTCTGTTCTCTATCAGCTATGGTGCTTGTGCTGTTGTCTTCTGACTGCAGGCCTCCAGCTTAGCCTTTTCCCACAGCCGCATCCCAGACCAGTCATGTAACTTCCTAGCATGACAGTCCCCTTTTTGCAACTTATCCTCTCTGTCCTGGAGGGTCTCTGTAGGTATTACTGCTTTACTTACTGTTGCAGCTGGTGGGTAACCCAGTAAAAGGTCGGCAGGCTGTTCTGATGCCCATCTTGAGAACAGCCTTTCTTTATAATGTTTATATAGGTTGTTAAGGTAGATCTCTGAATTTTGCATGTGGTCACTGAAACAAGACTCTAGATTTTTTAAGGAAGGGAAGCACCTACAAGCCTCTGCTAAGCCCCCAAAGCTAGGAGCAATTGAGCACTTTTATTTATATGTTTGCATTTTCAATAGGAATGGGATTTCGGAAATGCTTCTGAGTTCCACTGATTTTTCCATGGTTTGTTGGAATCATTTAAATGCTTTTCTAAACTGTACAATTAAATTGTGTTATGCAGGTTGATAAATTACTTCCTTAATGCTGTATACAATTATTTAATTTTGTTTCTACTGGTACAGTTCTGAAGTTCATAGGTTAGGATACCCTTAGTTTTTGTCCCCTTGCCAGTAGGTATCAATATAATCACAAGATTGTGCTGCTGTAACACTTCCCTGCGTTTTATTTACATTAGCTGTGTTGCATCATGTCACTGAAATATCACTTAAGATGAATTAATCATTCTTGACTCAGCCTTCATAAATTGAAAATTCATCATGAAGCAGACCAAAGTGTTTGCAGAACATTTTCTTCCTCATTTTGCAAGTTGCTGTTGAACAGCAATGATTACAAAGCTGTTTATCTGTCAAATGTTTTTTTGGGGCAATTTGTCTTTCACTTTTTTTGTTCCTTAATACTCTGTGTCTGATTGCCAACACCCAAAATAACCTTATAGACCCCATGTTGTCCCTTAAATCAGCTGGGGAGTGGCAGAATTAGGGAGACGTATGGCTGGAGATGCTTGAGCCTTCCGTGATCAGTGAGAACACGAGAGCTGGGAGCAGGAAAGGAGAGCAGGGGCAGCAGCTAGGGAAGCCTTTGCTCCTGGCTAGTGTGAGAGTCCAGCTGCTCAGCCCCTCAGGTATTTTTCTGCATGAAAAAGTTCAGGCCTTTTGGATAATAATAAATACTTTCAACCCTCCTCACTCATTTTTGGGGCATACGTTTGAACACAAACAAGGGTAGCTCTGTGGTTTCTCTATTCCCACTGGGCCAGGCCCACAGTAAAGTTCTTCCTTTCTGCTAGCTAGAGCCCTGTGTTTCTCCCCGAGGGTGCTCCCCTCCATGATTATTTGGCGTGTAGTAATTTGCACTGCTTCAAACACGTTTCAGTTGCAGACAAATTGGAGACAGCTGACTTGCCCAGGTGATTAATGTCCCTTCTAAAAGCTAGGAAGCCAAAAGCAGCTGTGTATGGTACTGTTGCCAACGAATCATTTTTCAATTGAATAACTGAAAAAACAAAAACGATTCTTGTCATTCTTAATCCCCCTCCCTACCTCAGCCCCCAGTGTCCATGACCCTGTGACGTGCAGTATGTGAACTGTAGCATACTGCATTAGGATGTTGCTTTTAGGAGTGTGGGAGGCAGTTCAAACCCAACAGAGACCAGAATTTCCTCTTGACCATAATGGCACTGCCCTGATTATCTTGAGTGCTCTCCCCAGAGATTGATTTGACTCAGTTAGGGTAACATGAAAGACCTCACTGAAGAGTAGGGCTGCAGGTACATGAGGGGGGGGCTGGTTCCAAATGAATTAGAGCAGCAGTAGACAAATGGTGAGAGAAAAAAGTATTGCCTTCAGTTTCCAAGTGGAAAAGAGCCTTAGAAAGGAAATGCTATCCAAGGTTGGTCAAGAATCCAGGCATTTCATCTAAAAGGTCTCTGTCAAGTTTCAGAGCAGTGTCATGACAATAAAGGCATGATTTTCTCTGTCAGAGCTCTCAACATTAATGCTTTTGTTGCCTTCCACTATGAGCACTGCACACACTTTGCTTGGATCTGCCCTTATAAACCACCTGGAAGCTGCCTCCTGTCTTTGCTTGATTCTGAGGAGTGCTGCAAAACTAGGAATTCGTGGGCCTTAAATAGCCTGGAATACATCTGTGCTGTGCTGTGCTGCCTTCCTGGGCATGAAGAGTGGCTTGCAGTAGTCATACTTTCAGCTCTTAGACTTGACA